TCTCTCTGAGATAACCCTGAGACAAAAGGTGTGTGTGTGTGTGTGTGTGTGTGAGAGAGAGAGGAGAGAGAGAGAGAGAGAGGAGAGAGAGAGAAAGAGCGAGAGCCTGGAGAGAGTGACACACAAACATGTTTGTTTTCCTCCCGTCCAAAGGTGGCTCCCATTAGAGCTAATAGAAACAACACACCCTCCCCGGGAGACTTCTAACTGACAAGGGGGTGCTTTTGAGCTAGCGAAGAAAAGCCAAACAGCTGGGCCCCATGTGGGTTTCTTGGGTTTAACAGAGAGGCAGCAATCTTGAGGACCCGGGTGGAATACTAATGTGAAGAAAATTCAATAATGACATCAACAGGAAGAAGCTGTAGAAAAAGTTGCAACACCATTCACAGGTAAACTATGACCCTTGGTCATGAATCTGTGGTTATGCAAAAACAAACAACCCCCCCAAAAACAGGATAATACATGCCACACGTAAACATTTCTCTCTCTCAACTTAATGACATGCTTTTCAGGGGCAGGGATTTAGAAGTTTGTTCATTCAACAGAATTCATCAAATGCTCACGACGTGCCAGGTGACTCAGGGCCTGGGATGCGGCAGTGAACAAAACCACTGCTCAAATGGAGTTCTCTTTCTTCTTCTCCTTTTAAAAATTTTAAAATAAATCATTTTATTGGGGGCCATACAGCTCTTACACCAATCCACACATCAATTGCATCAAGCACAGTTGTACAAATGCTGCCATCATCCTTTCCTTTCTACTTGAGTTCTTGGTATCAGCTCCTGTTCCCTGCCCCCCACCCCTGGCCCCTCGATCGCTTACACATTCTTATTATCAAAAGGAACTTTCATTTAACGGGTTAGACAGACTATAACGCATGCAGGAGCTGCAGAAAGCCCATGGAAAATTCCGTTTTCTTTTACTTCTCCACTTTTCCACAAATGTTTCAAGTCTCCTCAGATAGATTATAATAGGAGCAATAAAACTTAAAATTCGAACTCATTATCAACTCCTAGTGACCTTATTAGACAGGGTAGAACAGCCGGTGTGGGTTTCTGAGGCTATGGATCTTTTGGGGAGTAGACAGCCTCATCTTTCTCCCTCAGATCGGCTGGTGGTTTCAAACTGCTGACCTTGAAGTTAGCAGCCCCACTCGTAACCCACTAAGTTACCACAGCTTGTACATCAGGGGTTTTAAGTGCCATCAGAAGCAGTAATGATATGGACAATGACGGAGAGGGTGATGCATTGGATAGTATGAGGGACCTCTCTGATTAGGTGAAATTAACACATGGGTTGAATGAGGTCAGAGCAAAGCATGCAGCTTGGTAACTGGAGAAGAGTGTATGATCCGTCTTTCTATGCCCACAGAGGCTAGTACTGTGATCTGCACATTAAAACAAATCCAGTGCGATGGAGTTGATTCTACCAGCAGATTGTCAAGTCTTTCTTCCGTGGTGTCTTTGGGTGGACTTGCCCCTCAAACTTTTGGTTATCGGTTCAGCACTTAACCATTGGTGCCACCCAGGGGGGCTCGAGTGCTTATAAATACACCACTGTATCAAGTTTGTGATCCTGGTAGTGCCGTGCATTTGGCATTGGCCAGCTAATCACAAGGTTGGCCGTTCAAACTAGCAGACCCCAAGGAGAAAGAGGAGGCTGTCAGCCTTGGGAACCTCACATAGAGTCGTTAGGGTTCAGAACCGACCAAATGGCAATGGGTTTCATTTTTTTTCTCATTAGAGTTTGTTTCCTGTGCTCATTGAATGTATTAAGCCGATTAGGATCTGGTGCGTTTACTGCATTATCTAGTCCGATGGTTCCCAACTTGGGGGAATTTTGCCTGCTGGGACATTTCATGTCTGGAGACATTTTGATTATCACAACTGGGTAGGAGTACTAACAGTAGCTCCTGGGTGGAGGCCAAGGACGATGCAAAACATCCTACAATACACAGGATAAAACCACACAGCCAAGAATCATAGAAAGCAAAATGTCAAAAGTACCACTGGTGAAAAACTTGGATCTAGTCTTAAGGCAGGTAGGTCACTAGATCTCTAAGGAGAAGCTCTTTTGAGAAGCACCATCAGAAATATCTGGATGTCTGCAAACAAAGTGGACCCGAAGCCCTGGAGCTACCTTACGTTATCTGTTCCAAACGTAGTGAAGGAGATTCGGCTAGTTAGTTTCAAGCCCACATAGAAATTTATTCATTAACTAGCACTAAGTAAGAAAGGCGAGATCCTTCCTGGGTCCCCACACGCAACTGGTGACCCAAACATGGCCAGCCCTCATCCTTGTGACCTGGTGACCAACATCATGGCCAGCCCTCACCCTTGCCCACTCATTGACCGGGGGTAACTCCCTCTCCTGGATTAAGACCCCTCTTCTGCTTGAGGTCAGAGTTATGCCCTCCTGGATCACGCTCCTGGGGCATCATCCCCTCTACTCGACGCATGTGAACTCTACCTTAGTGCCAGGTCCCTGGCCATACCCGAGTGGGCAAAATTCCTTCCACAACCACCCTACCTTGCTCCAAGCTGCCTTTTGGGTCAGAAAGATTTCCTTCCCGGAACAACCACCCAGGCCTCAGCTATCATCTGAACCAACACATCACAGTCAAACTCTCTACAGCGAAGACAAGGAAACAATCCTGAGAGCAGCTCAGGGCAACAAAAGAAAGCAAAGTCACCAACAAAGGAGACCCAATACACTGAATGCAGGCAAGAAGGCAATGGGGTGGCATCCATGAAACTCGGAAAGAGGAAAACTGCCAACCCAGAATCATAAACCCAGCCAAGTGTTCCCTATGACTGCTGGATTAGGCATGTCCAGATAGACAGAAATGAATGTGTAAAAGTCAACCAACGCTATAAGAAAGACTAAAGGGAGTTTCCCAGACAAACTGCAGTAGACACCAATCTGAGAATAGCATACATGACACCCCAGAAAGAATCAAGCACGACGGAGACATACCCACAGTCAAACAAACCCACCAGACTGAAAATATGGAACCAGAGACATTAATTTGTAACCAAGGCAATGACAAAGTCCAAAGGAACGGTATAGTTACAGGACCTTTACAGGGAGAGGGAGTCAAACTCGGAGGCAATATACAGCAAGAGTGAGGTGGGCAAACACAGATGGGTGCCGGGAAAGGCACTGTCTGGAAAACCAGAGGTCAAGGTGAATACTGCAATATTGAAAAGGTCAATCCTGTGAGAGGGATGATCTACGAGTGGCTGCATTGATAGATGAGCAGGCTGAAAGGATGTGGGAGTATATCCACCAATACATAGAGGTTTGACAGAGGCTCTTTGGACATGGGTACCTACCTTGGCTGCAAAGATATCAACAAATGTGGTGGAGCATACAACAGACAAAGTTATGAAAACTTCTTAGACACAACCAAACACCTAGAGGGAATGAACTGCTGGACTTGGGGATCCAGGACCATTGTTTTGGGTCACACCAAGGTCAACTGGAATAACACAGTCTACAAAGACATTGTGGTACATCCTACTTTGGTGAGTAGCAACCGAGGTCCTAAAAGTTTGTGAGCAGCCATCTACGGTGCAATTATTGGTATCCCCTTGTCCAGAAGAAAACAGGAGATACATGGAAAATTAGTCGAATGACCCACTCTAACATCATCTTCACAACGCGGAGACAAGAACTAGTTGGTTCCTGAATATCACTACCAAATGCTCTGAAAGGGATCACACTAGAAGGTCCTGGTTAGAGTGGGAGAAAAATATGGATTCAAAATAAAAATAGTTAAAAAAAACCCAGCCTTACTGTTGGCATAGAGACTCAGAACTCCTGAACTATGTTCCTTAGTTGCCCTTTATTTCTGGAAATGAACTCACACTGATGGCTCAAGTTTCAGCCAAACAATAGACAGGTTTACAAGGGAACAATAGCACTAGTGAGGCACATACACCTCTGAGGTCAAGAGGTCGGTATTTACTCAAGGATAAAATTCAAAAGGTTTAGGAAAGAAGGAGGAATAGAAACAGGAAATTCAAGGAGGAAAATGGTTAAGCGGTGTTTCATTGTGGGAATTCCAATCAAGGCGATGAAACAAAATGAGCATGCATTGTTGAACAGACAACGAATTTCTTCTGCAGACGCTCACCAATTCACAATAAGAATTATTTTTTAAAAACGAAGTAAAAGTTTACTCCATATCTTTGTATAAGAGAGAGAAGCCAAGATGTGATTTCAGTTTTCAAACATTTTATAGCACATGGAAAAGAGGAGGCAGGAAGTCAAATACCTGTAATGAGACAAAGGCCACCCAGCCCAACCCAACCCAACTTAACCCCACCCCACCCAACCCAATTCAACTCAAACAACCCAACCCAACCCAACCCAATCCAACTCAAACAACCCAACCCAACACCATTGCATCAATTCCAACTCACAGTGAACCTATAGAGCAGGGTAGAGCTGCTCCTGTGAGTTTCTGAGACCACACCTCTAAACTGGAGTAGAAAGCCTAGTCTTTCTTCCTTGGAGCAGCTGGCAGTTTCAAACTACTGACCTTGTGGTTAACAGCCCAATACATAAAGCTGATAGTGGTGATGACTGTACAATTCTTGATGTGATTGAACTATTGAGTTGTATGATGTATGAAAAAAAAAAACCAATATAAAGGACGGGAATCATGACTCTCACTAGAGCGTCTCAAGTCAGTTCAATGTGAGTTATCATCTGAACAGGACTGTGACAGGCTTTAACAGGCAGAGGGGGAAGCAGAGGACCTGACAGGTAGAAGGGAAGATGTGAAGAGAGGTAAAGAGGTAATAGCAGCTGCCATCTGTTAACCCCCCTCTAGAATGTACGTGTGGCTGTCCGGCACTTAATTATGAAAAACAATTTTAGTATCAACTGAAAACATATACATACAAGTCAACTGAAATAAAGCACAATCTAAGGAGACCCGATTTCTCACCAAATCCAAATTCAACAAGGTATGGAACCAAGGTGATTATTACCTGGGGTGAGTTGCATAAATACCGAAGCAGTTCACCGATGTACTGAATGACAGTGACGTTGTATTTTCGGCAGTCATCCCAAAACTGGCTGGCTGAAAATTTGGTCCGTAAAGCCAGAGTAGCACCTGCAAACACAGAAGTCATAGAAAATGTCAATACAGTAGTGCCACAAAAATCCCCCAACTATACTTGTATCTACTTTGCCATCGTTGACAGGGAGAAATTAGAAAATGAAACTATGTTTAAAAACAAAAAGTAAGTCCCTATTATATGCTTGAGTTTGTCCTATATAAGGGTTTCCAAACTAGTGGAAGGAAGACACTTACAAAAGTCATTCCAATACAAGGCAGCATGCAGTATGAGGTTCTGACCAAGCTCTAAGGGAGTGTGTGTGTGTGTGTGTGTGTGTGTGTGTGTGTGTGTGTGTGTGTATTAATTCTGCTTGGGGTGAGCACTGAATCACATTCTAGAAGAGGTAGGCTTTCAGTTAGGTCTTGAGAAATGAATATGGAGAGACAGCAGACAGGAAATGACCCATATTGTGCATTAGTTTTCCTTTTAGCAGATGTGATCGGATGGCTGTGTGCTGGCCTCCAATTCTCGTCAAGAGAAAAAGCTTACCTTTCAGGATACAGCCGTGTACTCCAATCATCATTGCAGCACTGTGGTACAAGGGCAGAGTGGTATAGATGACATCATCTTCCCTAACCCCGCTTGCTGTAGCAAGCCCAGTTCCATACCAGAGGCGCTGATGGTTGATGACCGCTGCTTTGGGGAGACCTTGGCAAAGACACAAGCAAAGTCATGAATGAGGCAAGATTGGCCCTTCACAGGCATGCAGCCTGGGAGATTCCTCATCCTGTGTTCAGACAATTCTACGGTAGACTCCACAATCAATAAAACCAGGAGTCAATCATTTTTCTTGTGGGTATAAAAAATCAGACAGTAACTGTTTTAGGTTCTGCAATCAATGAACTCTGTTTTCGTGTGAGAGCGTCCCAGTCATACGTAAACAAATGAGCATTGCTGTGTTCCAATAAAACCTTATTTACAAAAACACTGGGGCTGTATATGGCCCCCAGTCCTCAGTTCACTGATTCCTGAATTAGATGGTCATTTCAGTGGTAACTGAAGAGAAAGGGAACGAAGCGAACGAATAGCTATTGAATCTATATTTTGAGTTCTAACATTTTGCAAGTTATTATTAAATATTTCATTTAATCCTCAAAGCAAGTTTATGAAATAAGTAGAATTCTATTCTCCAGTCCAGATGAGATGAGATGAAATCATTTGGTATCATCAGTCACATAAAGATAAATAGCTGTGCTTTTTCCTCCCACTCTTACCAGGCTCCAAGTGTTTTGGGGGATTAGGATGGTATGACATTGTGGACATGAGGGAAAAAGAGAAGATTCAAGAGACATTTTGAAGAGAGAAACAAAAATTGGATTTGGTGACTGACTGGGCTGGAGGAGATGAATGAAAATGATGTAAGAGCCCAGACAAACTCACACCTTGGAGCTCCAGTCTCCGAGAAGAGTTAGACACACATCCGTTCTGCTCATATTGAAATGGAAGGACAGTTAGGAAATGCTAAGTTCTGTGGGGCACAGAAGGGATTCTGTCCTGAGTGGGAGTGAGGTGAGTCTGGGGGCAGAGACAGGAACTTGGGGAAGAGCCAGAGGGCTGGAAAGGGTTGGTCTTGACCATCAGCTGAAAGAGTTTAGTCTCACCCCCCAAAGTGTTGGAAGATGACCTGGGCTCTCCCAGGCTGACGTTGGGTTGATGAGTTTACATTCAGGGAATACATTCAAGATCATTGCAAAGAAAGGAGAATGTATGTGGACATTTAAGGGTAGCACAGGAAACTTGAAAGGCTTTGGGGTTTAGGATGGACAGGCTTGTTGTACGTGGGGCCAGGGTCAGGCTTCTCTATGCTCTACTTTGGTGGCAAAGTCGGAGGTAAATTTAGAAAGGCTCCCCTTTTCAGTGAACTATCACTTCAGAATATATACA